TATCCATTTGCCAACTTTCAATCCAATCTCTTGAAGATTTTTCTAAAAAAAAAATCAAACGTCTCTCAATGTCATTTTTTGGAAATTTGATTTTTTCCAAAATGACATTAAGGCACATTTTGCCTCATAACTTCGTTAATTTCAATCCAATCTTGACGTAATTGGGCTCAAAATGAAGCCAATTAAATTCTTTATAAATTTTTACCGAATAGTTTCAATGCAGCTTCAATAATTTTGGAGCTGCACAGCTTCAAAGTCTTCTGACTTTGAGGATTATCAAGATGAGAAGGCAAAAGGAAATTTTTAATTTTTTTCTTAAATTTTAAATCATTATCTATCCATTTGCCAATTTTCAATCCAATCTCTTGAAGATTTTTCTTTTAAAAAAAATTAAACGTCTCTCAATGTCATTTTTTGGAAATCTAATTTTTTCCAAAATGACATCAAGGCACATTTTGCCTCATAACTTCGTTAATTTCAATCCAATCTTGACGTAATTGGGCTCAAAATGAAGCCAATTAATTCTCTATAAATCCTGGTGAATAATTTTAATACAGCTTCAATAATTTTGAAGCTGCACAGCTTCAAAGTCTTCTGACTTTGAGTATTATCAAGATGAGAAGGCAAAAGGAAATTTTTAATTTTTTTCTTAATTTCAAATCTTTACCTATCCATTTGCCAATTTTCAATCCAATCTCTTGAAGATTTTTCTCAAAAAAAAATCAAACGTCTCTCAATGTCAACTCTTCTCATATGTCATTTTTTGGAAATCTAATTTTGTCCAAAATGACATCAAGGCACATTTTGCCTCATAACTTCGTTAATTTCAATCCAATCTTGACGTAATTGGGCTCAAAATGAAGCCAATTAAATTCTCTATAAATTCCTGCTGAATAATTTCAATGCAGCTTCAATAATTTTGGAGCTGCACAACTTCAAAATCTTCTGACTTTGAGTATTATCAAGATGAGAAGGCAAAAGGAAATTTTTAATTTTTTTCTTAAATTTCAAAATCATTATCTATCCATTTGCCAACTTTCAATCCAATCTCTTGAAGATTTTTCTAAAAAAAAAAATCAAACGTCTCTCAATGTCATTTTTTGGAAATTTGATTTTTTCCAAAATGACATCAAGGCACATTTTGCCTCATAACTTCGTTAATTTCAATCCAATCTTGACGTAATTGGGCTCAAAATGAAGCCAATTAAATTCTTTATAAATTTTTACCGAATAGTTTCAATGCAGCTTCAATAATTTTGGAGCTGCACAGCTTCAAAGTCTTCTGACTTTGAGTATTATCAAGATAAGAAGGCAGAAGGAAATTTTTATTTTTTTTCTTAAATTTCAAATCTTTATTTATCCATTTGCCAATTTTCAATCCAATCTCTTGAAGATTTTTCTCAAAAAAAAATCAAACGTTTCTCAATGACGTTTTTTGGAAATTTGATTTTTTCCAAAATGACATCAAGGCACATTTTGCCTCATAACTTCGTTAATTTCAATCCAATCTTGACGTAATTGGGTTCAAAATAAAGCCAATTAAATTCTCTATAAATTCCCCTACTGAGTAGTTTCAATGCAGCTTCAATAATTTTGAAGCTGTAAAGCTTCAAAGTCTTCTGACTTTGAGGATTATCAAGATGAGAAGGCAAAAGGAAATTTTTAATCTTTTTCTTAAATTTTAAATCATTATCTATCCATTTGCCAATTTTCAATCCAATCTCTTGAAGATTTTTCTAAAAAAAAAAATCAAACGTCTCTCAATGTCATTTTTTGGAAATCTAATTTTTTCCAAAATGACATCAAGGCACATTTTGCCTCATAACTTCATTAATTTCAATCCAATCTTGACGTAATTGGGCTCAAAATGAAGGCAAATAAATTCTCTATAAATTCCTGGTGAATAATTTTAATACAGCTTCAATAATTTTGAAGCTGCACAGCTTCAAAGTCTTCCGACTTTGAGTATTATCAAGATGAGAAGGCAAAAGGAAATTTTTAATTTTTTTCTTAAATTTCAAATCTTTATCTATCCATTTGCCAATTTTCAATCCAATCTCTTGAAGATTTTTCTCAAAAAAAAATCAAACGTCTCTCAATGTCATTTTTTGGAAATCTAATTTTGTCCAAAATGACATCAAGGCACATTTTGCCTCATAACTTCATTAATTTCAATCCAATCTTGACGTAATTGGGCTCAAAATGAAGGCAAATAAATTCTCTATAAATTCCTGGTGAATAATTTTAATACAGCTTCAATAATTTTGAAGCTGCACAGCTTCAAAGTCTTCTGACTTTGAGTATTATCAAGATGAGAAGGCAAAAGGAAATTTTTAATTTTTTTCTTAAATTTCAAATCTTTATCTATCCATTTGCCAATTTTCAATCCAATCTCTTGAAGATTTTTCTCAAACAAAAATAAAACGCCCCTCAATGTCGTTTTTTGGAAATTTGATTTTTTTCAAAATGACATCAAGGCATATTTTGCCTCATAACTTTGTTAATTTTAATCTGATCTTAACGTATGTAGGCTGATATTGAAGCTAATTAAATTCTCTACAAATGCCTTATCCACAGTTTCAATGCAATTTCTAAAGAAAACCCGAGAGCGAGAGCCTGGAATAGAAAATTCATGAATTTATAGAATAGAAGAAAATTCAAGAGCTTGGAATAGACAAAAATTGAGACATCAATAATTCTTCAAAACACATTTAAGCATAACACGAAAATTTGTATTCCGCATTAAAAGAAAATTAAATGTTTGTTGTCGACAGCAGATAAGAAAATACCAATATTTACTCAATATACCAGATTAGTACCCTCTCATTGTTAAAAAGGAAGCTTCGCTTCCCATAAAATGAAAATTAAATCATGGTTTCACTTAAGTAAAAACCCGCATTAAAAAAAAGTTACAAGTTCACGCACCAATGGGTACCATTAATGACCATCAGGTACTTTTCTTTTGTAATAAAGCCATTGATGCCATATTGAAGCAAGGTACTTACTTATAAAATCCGACAACATTGTAAAAAGAAGTAAAAGGTAGACGACTAGGCAGCTGCTGCTGGTGGTACCTACTCCTTTGTAACCAATAATTATTGTCGGTACCACAAATGAGTTCGTTTCTCAATTAGAATTAAAACCATTTTTGTGCAATCTTGCATTATTTTAATTGGATATAACTGTTGAATTTTGCAGGTGCCTCCAAAGGACTGGTTTTCTTATCTTTTTTGGTTCATCTTATAATATATGAATTATTATCAAAAATTGTAGCTTTTAAACTTAATAGTAAATATTATTTTTGTAACAAAAATGTAAATCAAAATAACATATTTGGCATAATCATTAACAAGGTGCGAGATAAGATACGGCAAAAGTGTTTGCTCAGATTTTTAGCACGGTAATCGATATTTGGAGATTGAATTTTAAACAGATTTTTATTGATAATCGATCATGCAAAAAAACTATTCACCTGAACTGTATATATGAAATCCCTTGTGGTATCTTAAAAAGCAGATTTTCCAAATCCCCTATTTTCTCCCCTTTATTTACATTTTGTAAAATGAAATGCACCCTTTTGACAAAGTTTACAGTTTGCGGCCTCCTGGGGGGGGGACAAAATCGAGTTTGTTTTGGTTAAACGGTTTAAGTTTTAAAGCACTTAAATTAATTAATTATTTCTTGAAACAATACAACAATAGTAATTGAGATTATTGTAAATTATCTTGAAATTTTTATTAAATAATGTTGACAAAGCGTTTTTCAATCAAGTGAAAGTCCAGTTTGTGATTTATTAAAGGACATATATAGTTAAATGGATTGGAAAAAAGTCTTTTGTAGAAAATGTACGTAATTTATGGATCATATATCTTTTACAGAAATTATCTAATGCAGAATCCTGAAATTCTATAAATAATAGATAGTAATAATGGATTATAATAATAAAAAATGTGCATACAGGTATAGGTACGTCACTGACATGTCTACCTGGTGCAGTAACCTATGGTACCACTCTTTATATTCCCACCGTGGTGTTTTTCTATACGCAGCTAACCGTCAGAACGGCCTTTCGGTTTTACCATCTTTTGTGCACCATCAACTATTTTGGGCGCCATTCACCAGGGTCAGAATATAATTTTTGCTGCAAGAAAATACATGTATTTGGTTGAAATCGCTAGCTTTTACGGTTTTTGAGAAAATCGTTAGACAAAATTAGTTCAACTTTGAGCTTCAATTCTACGAAAACCATTGGGGTCAATTTAACAGGACTTATAAAGAATTCAATGCTCTATCCTATTCCAGGCTCTCCTAGAGTAGTAAATTTCAATTTCTGAAAATTCTAGTGTTAAATTTGAGCTACATATGGCAGTTTAAAACGTCAATTTTGGATCTCAAACTACAATTTCTAACTTATTGAATGAGCTAAATTCAACTGAGATGAATAAAAATCCTATTCCAGGCTCTCCTAGAATAGTAAACTTCAATTTCTGACAATTCTAGTGTACTAAGAATACAAAATTGATTATTAAATTATTATAATTTCAAAAACATGTTTTAATTATTCATGAGTCAAATTCTTAGCTCCAAAGATTTCAATTTTTTTTTACAATAAACTTTCTACAGAAAGAAAAGACATAAAAATCAAGTAATCCAATTAATAAATCCTCATTAAATTAATCAAAAAGATGATGATAATCAAGTGAACAAAGAATAAGTCGCATTTATCGGCAGGTTCAATCAATCAAAAACTTTTGCTTTGTCGGTGGTCGGCAGCGCAAAAAGAAGAATTTACAAATCAAGATTAATAAAGAAAAGTATCAATTAACATAATATAATTGCTTGTTTCTCGTTAATTATTATTTATAAAAAAAAAAAAAAATGTATTGCGATAATAATAATAATAATTCTGATTCATTATTCTTCCCAAAGTGAGTATGTATATAGGTATATCTAATCAAATTAATAATTAAAAAATAATATAATAAAATATAATTACTTACCATTATAGTTATCGTAAGCAGTGGGTACATATTCGCTAGGAAAACTATCATTACTATACGACACAGCTAAAGAAGTTTTTCCCACCTGTTTGTCGCCTACTATAACGCATTTAATACGGTTTTTCGCGCGAAACTTTCGAACACTTTTCCGCAACTTTCTCGGCTCAGTCTGAGTCTGAGCGAAAACTGTCGCCTGATTCTGAGGCGGCGTTAATAAAGGTTGTTTCGTATAATGAAAGATTGGATTACATTGAGGCGTCATTATTGTTTTTTTTTTTATTTTATGTTCATTTGGATTGAAATTGGATCGCCGACGGTGCGGTGCAAACGTGACGAGAAAAGTGAGTGAACTGAGTCATTTTCGAGTTCGCGGTCGCCAGACGGAATCGAGACGATAAAACGAGCGAGAGGGACGTAGAGATTACCAGTTACCTGAGCTTTTACCTGTTTTTTCATTATCTGTTTATTTTTAATAATGCGTGAGGGAGTTTCGATTCGATAATTTTTTTACAAAAAAATAAATAAGTAGGGATAAATATTTTTGTTTTTTTTTTTTTGATGGATTTGAAAAAAAATGCTTCAGTCTAAGGGCTGGTATTAAAACTATTTTGACAGATAACTACAAGTTAACTTCTAATCTAGAATTACCTACTATGAATTTCCAAAAGTTAACTAAGCCTCTTATTAAAATAGTGTTATAATAACTGTGTTGAGTAAAATATTGAAAGGTATAGGTTAGCTTTGATCTCCAAAATAAAATTCAGATTTTCTGAGCGTAAAACAATTTCTGCAAATTCTTGACACGAAAGCACTCTTTAACAAATACCTAACTTTTTTTCTTTTAATTTTTTGTTTATTCCAGGCTCTTGAATTAAAGTTAGGAAGATTTTTCTCCCTTATTTTATTCTTTTTTCTACCCACTTGCCAAATTTCAATCCAATTCTTCAAATATTTTTCTTAAAAATAAAGTGTATGGAGCAATTTGGGGTGATTTATCAATTTTTCAATTTTTCTGAGTGCCTTTTTTCATAGATTCCGGCTTCAAATCTGAGAATAATTTAGTCTATGGAGTTTGGGGTATGTTGATTGACCATTAGGATACAAAATCTCGATAAAAAAAAATTGAAATTTCATCGTTTTAGTAAGAAGGTACCTTATGATTTAGATTTTGGAAAACTTTGAAATGTCATAACTTTTTTTCTATTATAGATAGAAAGCTGAAACTTTCACTGAATTTTATCCCAATCAAGGGACTACAACCCCTGGAAATTTCAGCTCATTTGCTCTTATAGTTCCTGAGATAAAATTGTGTTAAGGAATTTGGGGTGATTTATCAATTTTTCAATTTTTCTGAGTGCCTTTTTTCATAGATTTCAGCTTGAAATCTGAGAATAATTTGATGTATGGAGTTTGGGGTATGTTGATTGACCCTTAGGATACAAAATCTCGACAAAAAAAAAATTTGAAATTTTATTGTTTTAGTAAGAAGGTAGCTACCTTATGATTCAGATTTTGGAAAACTTTGGAAGGGCATAACTTTTTTTCTATTATAGATAGAAAACTGAAACTTTCACTGAATTTTATCCCTTTCAAAGGACTACAATCCCTGAAAATTTCAGCTCATTTGCACTTATAGTTCCTGAGATAAAATCGTGTTAAGCAATTTGGGTGATTTATCAATTTTTCAATTTTTCTGAGTGCCTTTTTTCATAGATTTCAGCTTTAAATCTGAGAATAATTTGGTGTATGGAGTTTGGGGTATGTTGATTGACCCTTAGGATACAAAATCTCGACAAAAAAAAATTTGAAATTTTATTGTTTTAGTAAGAAGGTAGCTACCTTATGATTCAGATTTTGGAAAACTTTGGAAGGGCATAACTTTTTTTCTATTATAGATAGAAAACTGAAACTTTCACTGAATTTTATCCCTTTCAAAGGGACTACAATCCCTGAAAATTTCAGCTCATTTGCACTTATAGTTCCTGAGATAAAATCGTGTTAAGCAATTTGGGGTGATTATCAATTTTTCAATTTTTCTGAGTGCCTTCTTTCATAGATTTCAGCTTTAAATCTGAGAATATTTGGTGTATGGAGTTTGGGGTATGTTGATTGACCCTTAGGATACAAAATCTCGACAAAAAAAAATTTGAAATTTTATTGTTTTAGTAAGAAGGTAGCTACCTTATGATTCAGATTTTGGAAAACTTTGGAAGGGCATAACTTTTTTTCTATTATAGATAGAAAACTGAAACTTTCACTGAATTTTATCCCTTTCAAAGGACTACAATCCCTGAAAATTTCAGCTCATTTGCACTTATAGTTCCTGAGATAAAATCGTGTTAAGCAATTTGGGGTGATTTATCAATTTTTCAATTTTTCTGAGTGCCTTTTTTCATAGATTTCAGCTTTAAATCTGAGAATAATTTGGTGTATGGAGTTTGGGGTATGTTGATTGACCCTTAGGATACAAAATCTCGACAAAAAAAAAATTTGAAATTTTATTGTTTTAGTAAGAAGGTAGCTACCTTATGATTCAGATTTTGGAAAACTTTGGAAGGGCATAACTTTTTTTCTATTATAGATAGAAAACTGAAACTTTCACTGAATTTTTATCCCTTTCAAAGGACTACAATCCCTGAAAATTTCAGCTCATTTGCACTTATAGTTCCTGAGATAAAATCGTGTTAAGCAATTTGGGGTGATTTATCAATTTTTCAATTTTTCTGAGTGCCTTTTTTCATAGATTTCAGCTTTAAATCTGAGAATAATTTGGTGTATGGAGTTTGGGGTATGTTGATTGACCCTTAGGATACAAAATCTCGACAAAAAAAAATTTGAAATTTTATTGTTTTAGTAAGAAGGTAGCTACCTTATGATTCAGATTTTGGAAAACTTTGGAAGGGCATAACTTTTTTTCTATTATAGATAAAAAGCTGAAACTTTCACTGAATTTTATCCCTTTCAAAGGACTACAATCCCTGAAAATTTCAGCTCATTTGCACTTATAGTTCCTGAGATAAAATCGTGTTAAGCAATTTGGGGTGATTTATCAATTTTTCAATTTTTCTGAGTGCCTTTTTTCATAGATTTCAGCTTTAAATCTGAGAATAATTTGGTGTATGGAGTTTGGGGGTATGTTGATTGACCCTTAGGATACAAAATCTCGACAAAAAAAAATTTGAAATTTTATTGTTTTAGTAAGAAGGTAGCTACCTTATGATTCAGATTTTGGAAAACTTTGGAAGGGCATAACTTTTTTTCTATTATAGATAAAAAGCTGAAACTTTCACTGAATTTTATCCCTTTCAAAGGACTACAATCCCTGAAAATTTCAGCTCATTTGCACTTATAGTTCCTGAGATAAAATCGTGTTAAGCAATTTGGGGTGATTTATCAATTTTTCAATTTTTCTGAGTGCCTTTTTTCATAGATTTCAGCTTTAAATCTGAGAATAATTTGGTGTATGGAGTTTGGGGTATGTTGATTGACCCTTAGGATACAAAATCTCGACAAAAAAAATTTGAAATTTTATTGTTTTAGTAAGAAGGTAGCTACCTTATGATTCAGATTTTGAAAACTTTGGAAGGGCATAACTTTTTTTCTATTATAGATAGAAAACTGAAACTTTCACTGAATTTTATCCCTTTCAAAGGACTACAATCCCTGAAAATTTCAGCTCATTTGCACTTATAGTTCCTGAGATAAAATCGTGTTAAGCAATTTGGGGTGATTTATCAATTTTTCAATTTTTCTGAGTGCCTTTTTTCATAGATTTCAGCTTTAAATCTGAGAATAATTTGGTGTATGGAGTTTGGGGTATGTTGATTGACCCTTAGGATACAAAATCTCGACAAAAAAAAATTTGAAATTTTATTGTTTTAGTAAGAAGGTAGCTACCTTATGATTCAGATTTTGGAAAACTTTGGAAGGGCATAACTTTTTTTCTATTATAGATAAAAAGCTGAAACTTTCACTGAATTTTATCCCTTTCAAAGGACTACAATCCCTGAAAATTTCAGCTCATTTGCACTTATAGTTCCTGAGATAAAATCGTGTTAAGCAATTTGGGGTGATTTATCAATTTTTCAATTTTTCTGAGTGCCTTTTTTCATAGATTTCAGCTTTAAATCTGAGAATAATTTGGTGTATGGAGTTTGGGGTATGTTGATTGACCCTTAGGATACAAAATCTCGACAAAAAAAAATTTGAAATTTTATTGTTTTAGTAAGAAGGTAGCTACCTTATGATTCAGATTTTGGAAAACTTTGGAAGGGCATAACTTTTTTTCTATTATAGATAGAAAACTGAAACTTTCACTGAATTTTATCCCTTTCAAAGGACTACAATCCCTGAAAATTTCAGCTCATTTGCACTTATAGTTCCTGAGATAAAATCGTGTTAAGCAATTTGGGGTGATTTATCAATTTTTCAATTTTTCTGAGTGCCTTTTTTCATAGATTTCAGCTTTAAATCTGAGAATAATTTGGTGTATGGAGTTTGGGGTATGTTGATTGACCCTTAGGATACAAAATCTCGACAAAAAAAAATTTGAAATTTTATTGTTTTAGTAAGAAGGTAGCTACCTTATGATTCAGATTTTGGAAAACTTTGGAAGGGCATAACTTTTTTTCTATTATAGATAAAAAGCTGAAACTTTCACTGAATTTTATCCCTTTCAAAGGACTACAATCCCTGAAAATTTCAGCTCATTTGCACTTATAGTTCCTGAGATAAAATCGTGTTAAGCAATTTGGGGTGATTTATCAATTTTTCAATTTTTCTGAGTGCCTTTTTTCATAGATTTCAGCTTTAAAA